GGTAAGTGCTGTCCTGTGATGACGGGGACGAGCCACAGCTGGATCCCTGTCCTGCTATCCAAGTCATCACTGTCAAGAGTCACGGACAAATGGATTAAGGCCCTTTGAAAGGAGATCTTCGGAAGCATGTCGCCAGACTCCGTCCTTGGCCCTGGGCTTGTCTGGTCCGTAGACTTTTTGGTTTCGTTTTTATTTTAACCAGTAACCAATCTGGATGAAGGCCTGGAGGCATAGTCAACGTATATTCAGAGATGGGAAGATGGAGTGAATGGGTAAGACTGTACAATCTGAATCCGAATTATCTAAGTTCGTTTTTTATTTAAAAAAAAAAAAAAGATTTAAACCTTAGCATGCTTCTACTGGCTGAAGAGACAGAGACTATGAGAGGGAAAGTGAGAGATCATCCCCCAGGGGGATGGCCATGCCACAATCCCTTCCCCATTCTCCTCCCAGGATCTTAGGCACAGATATACACACACCCAGCGTGATTTTGAAGCCACCAGGTCCTGGACTCGAACCATGGTTGGCCATGTGGGAGTCCAACAACATAACGACTATGCCATCTGATGGCTCCACTACCTGAGTTCTAATCCTGGCTCTGACATTTATGACCAGGTCAACTAGAGCAAATCACTTAGCATTTTAGCACCTCACTTTCCTCCTCTCTGAAATGGGGGTAATAGTGGCTCTCTGACAAGGTCGTCTGAAGCCTGAATGAGTTAGCTCAGTGTCTGGCACACGGGACACGTTTGTGAGTTTGCTACTCTCATCATTAGCAAGGCTGGAGGGTTAACTCAGAACTAACAAGACGTAATTTAATGAGGACAAATGGAAAGTTGACCTTTAGGTTCCAACAAAGCGATTACACAAGTTCAGGGTCAGAGAGAGCTGGCTGGCATTCATCCATTCATCTGTCCACAAGCAGCAGCCTGAGGTGCCCAGCTCAGTGCCAGGACAACTGCAGCCGACCCCATTATTACGACCTTCAGGGTATTCACCAAGGAGTCATGTCCAGAACCAAGGAGGTGACCACCCCACTGGGTTCTGACCTGAGAACTCAGCAATAGAAGTCATCCTTAGTTGATAGGAGTATACAACACTACAACTACTGTGTAAGGAAGTCAAGTCATTTTTCTTTTTTTTTTTGGGGGGGGGCGAGGGAGAGGTTTTCGCTATAGGGCACGTGTGCTCGCCAGACAGACAGAAAGAGACATAGAGACAGAAAGTGAGAAATCACCCCCCAGGGGGGATGGTCATGCCGCAATCCCTTCTCCTCCATTCTCCTTTTGGGATCTTGGGCACGCACGCACACGCGCCCGGTGTGAGTTTTAAGCCACCGGGTCCGGGACACGAACTGCGGTCGACTACGTGGGATTCCAGCGACATAGCCATTATGCTAACTGCTGGTTCCCTTTTTTTCTTTTTTTTAAGAATTATTTATGTGGAGACCAGCAGATGGCATGGTGGTTAAGGCACTGGACACTCCCATATGGCCAACCACGGTTTGAGTCCCGGACCTGGTGGCTTGCTTTCTCACTTTCCCTCTCTCTCTCTTTTTCTCTCTCTGCTTCTCTCTGGTCAAATTAAAATAAATGAATGAATAAATAAAATTAAATTTTAAAAAAAGAATGATTTATGTAATTTTATTTTTTTAATTTGTTATAGGACATGTGTGCTCACCAAAGAGAGACAGAGAGAGAGAAAGAAAGAAAGTGTCCAGGTCTGGGATTTGAACTGTGGTTTCGCCATCTGGGAGTCCAGTGCCTTAACCACCATGCCACCTGCTGGCCCTGAGGTCAAGTGGTTTCTTACAAAACATACACCTACCCTATGATCCTGCAATTCCACATGTAAGTACCCAAGAAAAATGAAAACATATGTTCACACGAAGACTTACACAAGAATGTTCAAAGCAGCTTTATTTATACTGGCCCCAACTGGAACCAGCTCTGGTGCCATCAGGAGGCAAATGGATTCACAAACTATTATACCTCCACTCGATGGAATCCTACTCAACAATAAAAAGGAACGAATTGGGGCCAGATGATGGCGCGGTGGTAATGCAGGACTCCACGAGGCTGACCCTCATGGGAGGGTTGCAGGTTTGCAGCTGGAGACCTCCCTGAGCACTCTGGGTACACACACATCCATAATCCAGGGCTGAGGCTAGGGTAAATCGTGACATCAAGATCTTTTTTTTTGGGGGGGGGGTGTTATCTCTGACTCTGTGTGTGTCTCTCTCATGGAAGAAATACATTAAAACTTTGGGGAAAAAAAAAAAAGAAAGAAACGGGGCCAACAGGTGTCATGGAAGTTAAAGCACTGGATCCCACATGGCCGATTGTGCAGTTCGAGTCCCAGACTCAGTAGCTTGAAAATCACACTGGGCACATGTGCCTGCGTGCCCAAAATCCCAAGAGGAAAATGGAGAAGGGATTGTGGCGTGGCCATCTCCACTGTGGAGGTGATTTTTTACTTTCGCCAGCTTCGAAATAACCTTATGGGGCCAGCCAGAAGCTGAAGTGGTTAAGGCAGCTGGATCCCACATAGCTGAATGCACAGTCAAGTTTCAGACCTGGCAGCCTGGAAAACACTCCAGGAACAATTTTGTGCATACCCAAAATCCTGAGAGGAAAATGGAGGAGAAAGGATTGCTGCATGGCTATCCCCCTCAGGGAGTGATTTCTCACTTTCCCTCACTCTCTTACCCTCTCTGTCTCTGATGAATACATGCATCCTATAGCTAAAATTTAAAAAGAAAAATTGCTTTTGCATCTCACATTATTAATTTTTTTAACATTTATTTATTTTATTTACTTGTGATTTTCAAGCCGCCTGGCCTGGGACTCAAACCACAGTTGATCATATGGGAATCCAGCACCTTAACCACCACACCATCCACCAGCCCCGCATTATTAATTTTTTTAACATTTATTTATTTTATTTACTTGTGATTTTCAAGCCGCCTGGCCTGGGACTCAAACCACAGTTGATCATATGGGAATCCAGCACCTTAACCACCATACTGCATGCTGGCTCTGCTTCTCACTTTATTTATTTGTTTGTTTGTTTGTTTGTTTGTTTGTTTGTTTGTTTATGTAGATTCTGGCTATAGGGCACGTGTGATCATCAGAAAGACAGACAGAAAACTAGAAATCACCCCCAGAAGGGATAGCCACACCACAATCCCTTCTCCTCCATTCCCTTCTTGGGATTTTGGGCACGCACGCACATGTGCCCAGCATGAGTTCCAAGTCACTGGTCTGGATCTTGAACTGCAGTCGAACATGTAGGAGCCCAGCATCTTAACCACTACGCCACCTGCTGGCCCTACGTCTCACACTATTAACACATGTATTGGTGTCAGTTCAGGAGAATGGACTCCAAGGAGATAAAAGGAATTGTCATTCGGTGGTAGAATTGGGGATAATTTTCCTTCTATTTTCTAACTTCCTTATTAACAAATACATAGAATGGGGCTGACTCCAAGACCTGCTGGCTAAGGGAGCCAGATCCCACGTGGTCAACCACATGGTTCAAGTCTTGGCTCTGGCAGCTTGAGGAACGTGTGAGTTTGTGCATGTGTGCACGGGATGCCAAAAACGTGGAGAAATGGAGAAGTGGAGGGGAAGAAATTGCAGTGTGACCACATCCCATTGGGGGTGCTCTCTACCTCTTCCTCTCTCTCTGTCTCTGTATCTCTCTGGTGAGCACACATATCCTCTGACAAATTTTTAAAAGGGGAGGGCTAGCCTGTGGCCTGATGGTTAAGGCAGCTGGATCCCACATGCCAACTACACAGTTCAAGTCCCAGACCTAGAGCTTGAAAGACATGTGGATGCACGTTCATGTGTGTAAGTGCTCAAAAATCCCAAGAGGAGGAAGAGAGAGAGAAGGGATTGTGGCATGTCCATTTCCCACGAGGGATGCTTTCTTGCTGCCCTAAACCCTGTCTCTCTCTGGTAAGTATGCACTCTCTGTCAAAAAAAATTTTTAATAATTTTTTTCTTGAGTATTGAGCAAATAATCGCCACGAAAGGGATCATTGCATTAGAGTACGCCCAGTGGAGAGCTGCCAGGTGAGGTTGGAAAGGTTACTATGGGGGGCTGGAGGGAAGGCTGGCACAGGGACGGGATGGGGACACAGACCTCTCTTTAGTCAGCTGGTGCTCGCACACGGCAGACAGAGCCACTTGCTCAGTGCTCCACAGGGTGACCTGGTTCTGACAGTTGGACATGAGAAGGCCAGCTTGGCCTCCACAGAAGATGCTGTCCTACATCGGAACAGGCTGCCCTATAGGCCAGCGAGCTCCCCATCCCACGAGGTGTGCAAGCCTGCCATCAAGAGGGTTGGGGAGCGGATTTCTAGGGTAGGCAGGAGAATGGACTGAGGATCTCTGGGGTCCCTTTAAAAAGCTCAGAATGAGGTTCTAGCCTCTCTGACCAACAGTAAGTGCCCAGGGAGCTGTGAGGCCATTTCTGACATCGGTGGTAGAAGGGATGATCAGGGAGGACTTTCTAGAGGAAGAAGCCAGAAGATCGTCCTGGCCCCTAAACTCCAACCTGTGGGTATAGATCTTACAGATTCCCTTTTCTGGGGTCATCCAGATCTTTCTGGGCAAAAGCAAGTAGGGCTCACGCGCATAATTCTGGCCAACTCCTGCTCCTCTCTGGACCTCAGTCTGACCCTCTGTTCAATGGCCTCGACTGAAACCATCCAGGTTTTGTTTTTTTATTTTGTTTTTTTTGAGAGGTTTTTGTTATAGGGTGCGTGCGCTCGCCAGAGAGACAGAGACAGAGAGACAGAAAGCGAGAAATCACCCCCCTCCCGGGGGGGATGACCACGCCACAATCCCTTCTCCTCGGGATCTTGGGCACGCACGCACACGCTCCCGGCATGTTTAAGCCACCAGGTTTGGGACTCGAACCGTGGTCAACTACATGGGAGTCCACAACATGGCCATTACGCCAACTGCTGGTCCTGCGTCCAGGCTTTTTTCTTCAGGGCTGGCAACTTGGAGGAAGGAGAGTGCTGGGCTTTTATAGGCGGGCCTGTGTGGTATCCCGGATGTTCAGTCCTTGGCACTTGGACCTGATGCTCAGAAAAGATTCAGCAGAAGTGATAGGAGCCCCAGAGCGGGCCAGAGGTTCGGCCAGGCTCCAGGAGACCCCCGCTTCCCAGCCCTCAGCTGCAGGAAGTCAGGAAGGAAGCTGGATGTTATTATGCCGACGTCATGCCATGTTGTCACCATGGTGAGGGGGGCTCCCAGCATCTGAGCACTCCTAGCATCAGGGAACCGCTCCTCCGCCCAGGGCCTGAGGAAGGGGTATCACGTCCCAGTCTCCCTCCCTAGGCTGTCCTGACTCTGCCCAAGGGGGCAGGAGTGCTCTCCCTTGAGGCAGAGAGTGGTGCGGGAGAGGTGAGGCCAGAGGTGAGGCCGGGAGACAGAGGAGCGAACTCGCACTCCCTTGCAGATGAGCTCGGCGTTTAGCGCACAGGCTGAGGTCAGCCGGCCTGGTCCCACTCGGAACTGAGCGATCTTGGGCAAGTGGCTCCACTTCTCTGGGCCTGGGAGGATGCTGCTGTGAGGACGAAAGGAGACGCCACTGGGATGGTGATGAGCTCACGTTCATTTTCTTCCCTCTCTTTCTCTCCCACACAGTCACAGAAACTGCCAAATCACTGAGTCCCTCCAGTGGGCGCCCCGAGACCTGCAGAGGCTGTGTCAGCTCCGCCCTCCTCCCCGCTCTCCTCTACGCGGCTCGCGTCCCTGCCTGCCCCCGTGCGGCCCTTTCTGGTAATGCAGTGTTCGTCCTCACCACCTCCGCTCGTGCTCAATTAACCTTGCAAAGTGAGACATGGAGTCTATCCTGGTCTGGAGTCGGTAAGCCCTTGTCGCCAAACCTTTAAAATCTTGGCTGTCATTCTCAACACCCTCAACCCCCCAAGAATGGTTCCGGATCCTTCTCACTGGTCCCAGACTGTGGCCAGAGGGAGAGAGCCACACTGATTGGGGAGGCCCGTGGCATTGTGCACACGTTCCTGAGAGCTGGCATTAGGATCCGGAGCTGCTGAGGGTATCTAGATGCACACTCCGTGCCCCCTCGTGCATGCCCGCACACAGCACACCTTAAAGCAGCAGCCTCCTGTACCTACACAACGTGACATCACTGCCCAATCAGCCTGCTCTCCCACCATCATCCTTCTGTCTCCTGAGGACCCGGGAAAGCCAGTGCTGACTATAAATTGCAAGGACAAATGTCCTTCCGTGGCCTGAAGCCCTGCATCACCCAGCCCTGTCCACCTCTCCCGTCACCACCCCCTTGCCCATTCTTCACTATTTCTCTAACACAATATGCAGTGCTTCACACCCTCAGGTCTGTGCACTCACTGTCCCCTCTGGCTGAAACAGCCTTCCTCCAAGTCGCTTCTTTCAGGACTCCATTCATATACCACCTCCTCAAAGAGTCCTCCCAGACCACTGAAGCTAAGAGGCTCCCCAGCCTCCATTCTCCCAAAATGTAGGGTTTCTTTCTTTCTTTTTTTGGAAAGGTTTTTGCTATATTGTGCCTGCGCTCGCCAGAAAGACAGAGATAGAGAGACAGAAAGCGAGAAATCACCCCGGGGGGGATGTCCACACCACAATCCCTTCTCCTCCATTCTCCTCTCGGGATCTTGGGCATGCATGCACACGGACCCGGCGTGAGTTTAAGCTGCCAGGTCCAGGACTCTAACTGCGGTCGACTACATGGGAATCCAGCAACATAGCCATTATGCCAACTGCTGGTCCCCAAAATGTATTTATTTCAAAATGTGTATCCCAGGGACCAGCAGATGGGGTAATTGTTATGTCACTGGACTCCTACGTAGTTGACCATGGTTTGAGTCCTAGACGCGGTAGCTTAAAACATGTGAGGCATGCGTGCAGGTATGCCCAAAATCTCAAGAGGAGACTGGAAGAGAAGGGATTGTGGTGTGGCCATCGCCCCTAGGTGATGATTTCTCACTTTATGTCTCTTTGTCTCTCTATAGCAAAAATCACACCCTACCCCTAGGTGATCTTTAAAAAAAAGGGGAGGGGGGAACCAGCAGTTAGCGTAATGGCTATGTCGCTGGACTCCCACGTAGTCGACCGCGGTTCGGGTCCCGGACCCGGTGGCTTAAAACTCACGCCAGGTGCGTGTGCGTGCGTGCCCAAGATCCTGAGAGGAGAATGGAGGAGAAGGGATTGCGGCGTGACCATCCCCCCTGGGGGGTGATTTCTCGCTTTCTGTCTCTATGTCTCTCTCTGTCTGTCTGGCGAGCGCAGGCGCCCTACAGTGAAAATCTCTCCAAAAAAAAAAAAGGGGGGGGGGGGGGGCCCGCAGGTGGCATGGTGGTTAAGGTGCTACATTCATACATGACGAACCATGGTTCAAGTCCTAGACCAGGTGGCTTGCTTTCTCACTTTCCCTCTCTCTCTCATCAAATTAAATAATAATAATGATAATGATAAATAAATATTTTTTAATGTGGGGACCAGCAGGTGGCATGGTGGTTAAGGGTGCTGGACTCCTAATGGTCAACCACGGTTCGAGTCCCAGACCTGGTAGCTTGCTTTCTCACTTTCCCTCTCTATCTTTCTCTCATTCACTTGTTCTGTCCCTTTCTGGTCAAGTTAAAATAAGTAAATAAATAAATAAATAAAGTTAAATAAAATAATTATTAGAAAAAATGTGTATCCTACCATTAGGGAAATGCAAATCAAAACTACAATGATGGGGCCAACAGGTGACATGGTGGTTAAGAGTGCTGGTACTCCCACATGGCCGACCATGGTTTGAGTCCTGGACCTGGCAGCTTGCTTTCTCACTTTCCTTCTCTCTCTCACTCTATCTCTCCTTGGTCAAATTAAAATTTAAAAAGTTAAATAATAAAAAATAATTAATTTTTAAAAATATTTCAATGAAATATCACCTCATACCCTGCTATGGTTTGAATGTATCTCCCCAAAATTCACTTGACAATATTAAGAAGGGGGAGATTTATCAAGAGGTGGGTTATTTGGGAGGTGATTAGGTTTAGGATTATCAAGGTGGGGCTCTCATTTTTCCCCTTAAGAATTAATTAATTTCCTTTATCATTATTATTTTTTTAATTTGTCACAGGGCACATGTACCCACCAGAGAGAGACAGAGAGAGAGAGGAAAAGTGAGAAAGCAAGCCACCAGGTCCATGACTCGAACCGTGGTTGGCCACATGAGAATCCAGCACCTTAGCCACCATGCCACCTGCTAGCCCTGAGTAGGATCCTCTTGGTCTTGCCTCTTGCCATGTGATGCCCTGGACTGCCCTGGGACTCTCTGCAAAGACTTCCCTCCAGCAAGAAGACCGTCACCATAAAGGCCCAGAGTTTGGATTGTGGATCTACCTGAACGCACTGGGGTGCTTGTCATTCAGCTGGCAAGAAGGCCAGGGAGGAACATGGCACGGGAAGACCTTGTCAGATATCCCTGTCCCTCTCTTGCTCTCTCAATAAAAAACAAAACTTGGAGCCAGCATATGACATAGCAGTTAAGGTGCTGGGCTTCCACATGGCTGACTACAGTTCAAATCCCAAATCTGGCAGCTTGAAAATCATGCTGGGCATGTGTGCAGGGGTTCTCAAGATCATGAGAAGACAAAGGAGAAGAGATTGTAGTATGGCCATCCCCCCAGGGGGTGATTTTCCACTTTCCTCCCACTGTCTCTTGCTGTTTCTCTCTGGCAAGCACAAGTAACCTGTGGCAAAACCCCCCCAAAAAAGTAATAAAAATAAAAAACTTTAAAAAAAAATAAGAGAAGCTGGGACCAGCAATTGGCATAATGGCTATGTCACTGGACTCCCATGTAGTCGACCATGGTTCGAGGCCCGGACCCGGTGGCTTAAACTTGCGCCAGGCGTGTCTGTGTGTGTGTGTGTGTGTGTGTGTGTGTGTGCCCAAGATCTTCTGAGAGGAGAATGGAGGAGAAGGGATTGCAGTGTGGACATCCTCCCTGGTGGGTGATTTCTCGCTTTCTGTCTCTCCGTCTCTGTCTTTCTGGTGAGTGCACATGCCCTATAGCAAACAAAAGCTCTCCAAAAATGAATAATTAAATAAATAAGAGAAGCCAGCAGGTGGTGTGGCGGTTAGGCCCTGGACTCTTCACATGGCTGACCATGGTTTGAGTTCTGGACCGGGCAGCTTACTTCCCCACTTTGCTTCTGCCTCTCTCTCGCTCTGATAACTCTCTCGTGAGCATGCATGCCCTGTAGCAAATTTAAATAATAATGATGATGGTCATAAATAAAATTAAATAAATAATTGTTAAAAAAGAAGAAGAAAACCCTCAACAGATACAACCTCTTGACCTTGGACCTCCAAAACCATGAGCTAAGTAAAACTTTATTCTTTTTTGTTTGTTTGCTACAGGGTTCATGCACTCACCCAGAGAAAGACAGAGAGAGGGAAAGTGAGAAATCACCCCTGAGGAGGGATGGCCAAACTGCAATCCCTTCTCCATTCTCCAGATTTCGGGTGCACACACATGCCTGATGTGATTTTTCAAGTTACCAGGTCCAGGACTTGAACCACACAGTGGGATCCGGCCTCTTTAAACTCATGTTATCTGTTGGTCCTAACCTCTCTTCTTTATAGGTTACCTGATCTGTGAATTCAGTTATTAAGCAACAGAGAACAGACTAAAATATCCCACCGGGATGGTTTACTATCAAAACAAATAACAAACACAAAACAGAAGGGTCAGCAGGTGGCATGATGGTTACAATACTAGACCCAACATAGTCAAGTTTGCAGTTTGGGTCCTAGATCCTACGGCTTGAAGAACATGCTGGGTGTGTGTCCATGTGTGCACAAAATCCTGAGAGGAAAACAGTGGGAAGGAGAAGGGATTCTGGCATGGACATCCCCTTCATGTAGCTTGCTCTCTCTCTCTCTCTCTCACTCACTCTGTCTCTCTCTGGTCAAATTAAGAAATAATAATAAGGGGCTAGCAGATGGCATAGCAGTTATGTCGCTGGATTCCATATGGCCAACCATGGTCCAAGTCCTGAACCCGGTGACTTGAAAATTACTCCCAGCGTATGTGCGTGCATACCCAAGATCCCAGGAGGAGAATGAAGAAATTGCAGCCTCGCCATCCCCCCGGGGGTGATTTCTCACTTTCCCTCTCACTATCTCTGTCTCTGTCTCTCTCAAAGGCAAAAATCTCTTTTAAAAAAAAGAATTATTTTATTTAACTTTATTTATTATTATTATTTTCCAATTCGATCAGAGAGAGACAGAGAAAGAGAGAGAGGGAAAGCGAGAAAGCAAGCTGCCAGGTCCAGGACTTGAACCACAGCTGGCTATATGGGAGTCCAGCACCCTTAACCACCACGCCACCTGCTGGCCCCTATTTTATTACTTTTTAAGAGACATTTTTGCCAAAGGGTGAATGTGCTTGCCAGAGAGACAAAGAGAGACAGAGAGACAAAAGGTGAGAAATCACTCACTAGGGAGGATGATCATGCTGCAATCCCTTCTCCATTCTCCTCTAGAGATTTAAGGCACACACGCACATGCACCCGGCTCTCTGGCCAAATTAAAATAAATAAATAAATAAAGTTAAATAAAATAATTCTTAAAAAAAAGAGAGAGAGAGAGGGAGGGAGAGAAAGAAAAAGAAATAATAATAAATAGGGCCAGCAGGTGGTATGCTGTTTAAGGCACTGGACTCCCACATGACTGACCACAGTCTGAGTCCTGGACCTGGCAACCTGCTTTCACACTTTCCCTTTCTCTCTGTCACTCTCTGGATGAATTAAATACTAATAATAATGAATAAAATTAAATAATTATTTTAAAATAAAATAATAATTAAAAAATTTAATAATTCTTTTTAAAAAACTAAAGAAAGGACCAGCAGAGGGTGTAATGGTTATATTGCTGGACTCCCACATGGTTGACCACAATTGGAATCTCGAACCTGGCGGCTTGAAACTCATGCCAGGTGCTTACGTGGGCATGCTCAAGATCCCAAGAGGAGAATGGATGAGAAGGAATTGCGGCATGGCCATCCCCACTTTTGGTTTCTTGTTTTCTGTCTTTCTGTCTCTCCATCAAGTGTACATGCCCTATAGCCAAAATTTCTCTGTTAAAAAAAAAAAAAAAAAGCTAAAGG